AAACAAAAAACTATCTATCAAGAACTTTTCTTAATGTTAATACATAAATAACTTGAAAACATTAAATATGAAACTAAATAACTCTATTGAATTAGTGATGGTATTGGTAGTGATAGTATAGTAATGGCATTTATTAGATCTTAAAACTCGAGTACTTTCGGTCCTAATCAGGAGTTATCACAAAAAAATGAAATTAAATGAATAAACAAACATTTAAAGAATTATAACTAGTTTTCAACTAAATTTATTAATTTAGCAAATTTTAAAACCAAAAATAATTAAATTAATAATTAAAATTACAAATAAAAACATAAATAGCAATAAAATAATTACTAATTGAATGCATGCATGAATTAAATGCATATTAAAATACTCTGTAATTATAAGATTGAAGGACCGGGTATTTAAAGTATTAAATCTTTAAAAGTGATATATTTTTTAAGTTTGGTAAAAAGTTATAGATTTGAATTCAAATGATAAGTTATCTATGTTTAAAATAAATAGTTAGTTGATAATAATATTTATTTATAATTTAATGTATAATACATGGAATCCAATAAAATAATTATAAAATCTAAGTATCGATATAAATAATACTTGTGTGTTAAGTACATAATCAAGGAAAATTAAAATAAAATCTACAATAAAATTCATTATGACTTATAAAAGTATGTATTATTGGTGTGCCGGACATAACAGGCCGGCTCTAGACTGGTGTTGGGGTCTACGAATGAGGCGATGGATGAATAGGTGGATGCGATGCCACCAATCACTCCAAGTATAGCGATTTGGATGAGAATTATCTTCATATAGCGGGGAATCTCTCTGCAAAACATAGCAAACAATACATTAGTTATCATAGAAACACATTTAAACCCAATAATATATGGGATCAGCCATGGGGTCAGGTATATGTTACTAATGTAGGCATACTTCTTAGTCCAGGCGCCGTTCCCATCGTCGGAGCACAGCTTGAAATAGAAAATGGGAGGCATTACGAACGCCATGAACGCGACAGTCGTTCCCCCAATCAGATCTATAATGTCGCCAAACGTGGGCACTGACATCCCCGTGAACACCATCGCCGCCATTAGTATCGTACGAAACGCACACCTCTTCCAATTGAAGTCTATTTTGTGAATAGTTTTATAGCATAAGAGCTTTGGTGAGATTATTCTGTACCAGAAATACGAGTCGATTCTTACGTTTAGGAATATTCAACAATTCCTCGATTTCGAGTAAAACCGGATTTATTATAATAAGGAAAGCGAAGTAACAGTGAATTAAAAACATGATCTGAATTGTTGTGGTCAACCCATTGGCAGGTAAGTCCGCTATAATGTTCGGGTGAACACTAGTTCCATAGACACCATACCCGCCACCCGACACCGGTATGTATAGCACTAGGAGACCTATAAATGAATTATTATTTAAGTAATGATAATAAGTAATGTAGTTTTCTGTCTAACAATACCTATGAAGCCAAAAGTGACAGCTCTGGGGAACTCCTCCTTATTTTTCATATCATTTTGAAAGTTAGGGAAAGCACTGGCGCCTGACGTATGGGGACAGACATTAGATTTTTGTTTGTTTTGAAATACCCGTAAAGACATACCTCCGAAAGCGAACAGAATATTCCCGAAAGCCTTGAAAAAGTTGATAAAAGTAGGCATCGCATAGACGGCATCTTTCGCACGATTCTTGGAGTCGATTCCTATACTAATCAATAGTAATACTGATCCCAAAACAGTGGATATCATGGCTGTATAGGCCGCGGGCCAGAAATCAGCCGGCGATCCCAACCACATGAATGGTGTGAGGGTTATGCCTACTATCGGAACCCACGAACAAACCCCTAAATTCATGACTTTAGCGGCGTTCAGACCCGTGAACACCCCCTGTAGTAGACTGGATACAATAAGTAGAAATACAGTACTGGTGCCGAATCGGGTGATATTCATGGCCACGGATACTGCAACACTATTTTTGTTGAAGTACATGTATATCAGTTAGTTGATCATTAAGTAGCTAATATGTTATTCATATACCTGCCCCAATTTCCATACGCTCTGTACCCGATTGTAGCAAATGGTTTTCGTGTTAACCCGACCTTGTATTCCGGGTACCGTTCCTCTAATATCAGCCATGATTTTGCGAGACATATACCGGCAATACCGGCGTTCGCACAGCATATGGCTATTAATGGTAATCCGAACCAACCTTTAGGTAAATTAAGATTTTATAATTTTTAAAAATGTTTTCAATTGA